ACACCCCATGTGTTGTTTAGTCGTTTAGTCGTGTCCGACTCTTCATGACCCCATGGACCAGAGCACGCCAGGCACTCCTGTCTTCCACCACCCTCCACAGTTTGGTCAGCACTCAGGGCGGGTGCAACTACAAAAAATGCCTTCTGCCTGGTTCCCTGTATTTTCACATCTCACAGTGAGGGAACCACCAGAAGGCGTTCGGAGGCTGGACCTCGGTGTCTGGGCTGAATGATGTGGGTAGAGATGCCCGTTCAGGTATACAGGGCCAACATTGCAATCTCTCAGCCCTGCTCTCTTGTTTATTGTGCAAGTCTTGAATGCCTCAAGAGGGCTTTTGTTGTTTAGTCATGTCTGACTCTTCATGACCCCATGGACCAGAGCACGCCAGGCACTCCTGTCTTTCATGGCCTCCCACAACTTGGTCAAACTCATGTTCGTAGCTTCGAGAACACTGTCCAACCACCTCGTCCTCTGTCGTCCCCTTCTCCTTGTGTCCTCAATCTTTCCCAACATCAGGGATTTCCAGGGAGTCTTCTCTTCTCATGAGGTGGCCAGAGTATTGGAGCCTCAGCTTCGTGATCCAGTGAGCACTCAGGGCTCACTCGGGGACTCAGCACTCAGGGCTGATTTCCTTAAGAATGGATAGGTTTGATCTTCTTGCAGTCCATGGGACTCTCAAGAGTCTCCTCCAGCACCATAATTCAAAAGCATCAATTCTTCGGTGATCAGCCTTCTTTATGGTCCAGCTCTCACTTCCACACCGCATACTCACTTTTAACTGGACTTAACTGTCTAGGAGTCATTTACCTTTACCTATTTCCCTTAATATTTATGCATCGCTGCCTGTCACTTCAGTTTCTTGCTTGTTCAGTTTTAAGCCTGCTGCCCCCCTGCCATAAGAAGGAAAGGTTTCACCCTTCTTTCCCTAGCTGCAACACCATAAAAATTGCCTTGACTCTCATGCTGCAACTAGCGGGTAGCCATCCAAAAAGAGGAAATGCAGAACCAAATCAAGAGGGCAAAAGAATACATCAATTTGCATATGTATAGAATCAAATTTAGAAATAATTACTATAATTTAAAAAGGAATACAATTGTGGGTAAGGCTGTGGCCATGTGTCCCGTGTGCCTGCTCAGTTTGCTGTCCGGCTGTTAATGATGATGGACAACTTCAAGGTCTTCTCTCCGTTCTTATGGTTCTTTTATCTTCAAACTGGCCATGGCCTGGCTAGCCTTTCATAGAGAGTACTGTATGCCTTCAAATAGAAGACTCTCCCCTGTGAAGTATAACATGGGGGCACCCTATGCAATTAGCAATAGTAAAAAAGCTCCCATTTTTCTATAGCTAATTGCAAGCCAGTGGGGGGCTATTCTTACAGAGATCACAGCTGGTGAGGGAAGGGCAAAACCTCTCCTCCCAATGTGATGTGGTCCTGACAAGAATCAAAGGAATGCTGACTACTAAATAAACACTGTATTTTAAAAAGCCACCCTGCGTTGGCACTGATGCCCTGAGCATCATGGGTACCAAGACCCCGAGCATATAATCAAAGCCAGCTGCTTTCTTCAGCTGATTTTTATGAACCACATAAAAACGGTTTGTGTTTGGAATAGGTAGGTAAAGTTGCAAGGCCTCCCCAAGCATTCATTGCTCACCTTTACTTCCTTGGTTTGCTTTATGTGATACTAGTTTAATATTTGTGAGGAGGAAATGTCATAGAACTGTAGAGTTGGAAGTCCAGAGGGAAAAGAAACCTTGTTAAGACTTTGATGAGGAAATGGAACAAAAATAGCATATAATTTGAGGAGGAAGGAACAGAGGTTTTGTCTTCCTTCTTTAGGCCCTGGCAGGGCTTTTTTCCTAGAAAAAATAGGTGCCAGTATTCACCTTGAAGTTGCTTCTGTAAGTGCCACACTTTTTAACAACAAAAAAGGTGTTCCCTAAAAAAAAAAGAAAAAAAAAGCACTGTGTAGCAGGGAAATATTGAACCAAACAAGTACAGAGATAAAACTCCCTCAGAACTGCACAGCCAATCAGAGCATATGTTATCTCACTAGAGATCATGCCACTCTGGCTAGTTGCTAAGCAATGCCTCCTCCTCCATCACCACACCTGGTTTCCTGACTTACTGTTGACAGAATTAACCCTTAACTTACAAACTGAATGATCCCTGCTGTTGCACTTCCAACATTGCTTCCCTATGCTCTGCAGTCTGAGAAAATGGCTGCTACTGGGTGTCAGTTGAAGGAGAGCCAAAGACAATTGGGCATGTCAAAAATTGTAAGTCCCATTCACTATGGTAGCAGAAGCAATGCCTTCTACAAAGTTCTGTCCTAGGTTGCCATTTAGGTTGGCTAAATTTTAAGGTGGGGAGCAGCCCTCCCATGAGATGGAAAAGATTGCACTATTATAGAACTTTGCTTGTGTGATTAATGATACAACATTAGACATTCATCTTGACATTTTGATTTTTCTTTGATCATTTTGTGATGAGCAGCTTTCTTGCTCTTCTGCTTTGCCTATCCCTCTCCTTTTTACTGCTTTATAATTTCAAATGAACCAGAATGTGCATTGGAACTGTTCCACCCCGACCATTTATTTGGGTCCTCTGCAAAATAGGTGGACGGATTTACAGAATGCTTCTGGTGAATTCAAAAGAATCATGTAATGTGGGATTGGCCTAAATGCAAGTGATTAAGGCATCCCTGCCAAAGTGAAAAGATGGTAGAGCAGCTTGAAATTCGCAAAAGCTAAAGAATAAATAAATTGAGTCTTGTATGGAAGGGGAAAAGGAGAAGTTTGACATAGTGCATTGTCTCTAGGGAGCAAAAAGAACTTCAATTTTGGCATCACCCAAAGCAGAGCTTTGAGCAATACTTCAGCTGACAAACCAGCACCTATAATTTAGTTCATTATGTTTTCCTGGGGTTATATGTTTTGCACTTGGAAGGAAGAGAAATAAGGTGTGAAATTGAATAGCATTTTATTTTTTTATTTTTTTAAGGATAAGAAAGAGAGTAAAAAATGGAACTAACACTGCTAAATTTGAAATAACATTCAGGCGAATGAAACATCTGTTAGAACTTTGAGGGACCTATTTCAAAGAGAGATTCCATGAGAGGCTCTTGAGCGATGAAAAACTTGTGGTCCGTTAGATACTGTTGGGTTACTACTCTGATCATTCCTGACAATTGCCATGCTGGCTGGAGCTGATGAGAATTGGAGTCCAAAAAAATAATAATTCTGCTATTGCAGATTCTGTGCTCCTGCCTTGGAAGAATATGGGGACTTTGAAGGCTGGTGGCATTAATGAGAGGGAAAAAAGCAAGGCCCTCTTATTGAAGTTATTAATATTGCACATATGGAAGCAGTTGGATGAATGAAAACTTATCTCTTCTTTGAAATAAAAATCACCCAGTCCAAAAATATGGTTCAAAAGCTTCACTTACAGAACCTGATCCTAAACCAACTTGAAATAAATAACGTTACATGCAGTTAGATGCATAATTTCTTATACTGATTGCAGCATAGATGAGATATCTTAGATTACAACATATATTGCATCTTGAGCTAAAAATCAAAGCTCAGTCTCTTCTCCTTTCCAGCCTCCATTAGCCTGAGGTTGTTTTCAGGAGAAAAGAGATTAGCATGTCCATTCTCTTCAGTAGCTTGAGAACAAAGTCTTGCACGCCCAAGGTGGATGCCCACAGATTAGCATATGCATAGACTTGCAATACAATCCTTTTCATGTGATTCTGAGCTGCTCACACTGTGAGTGAGCTACAAAGATACAGCCCCACTTAATGATTAACATTAGGCTCTTCCTCAGCTTCAATGGAAATTTCCATGCCATGTTTCACAGTATACATGCAGACACAATACAGAGTTATTTTCCATTTCACTGTTGTTGTTGACATCCATCTGTCTGTCTCAGGAGACAATGGAAGAGTATTCCTTGGCGGTGAAGTTAGAGTGTTGGAAGGTTGCAGCTCCTGCTGCGGCTGTAGAGACTGATACAGGAGATATTTGTTTTGATGCAGCTGGTTGTTCCTCCTCTGGCCACTGTTCAAAGTGTAGATGGAGACAGAGGCACAAATGCCAGCCCCAATCTCAGCATCCTTGTGTGAGTAATCCCTGCCAGGCTGGTCCCTAAATGCCTATGATGTGTGAAAGAGGGTTTATACGCAAACTTGAGTTGAAACCTTCGCACAGTTGAAGATTCTGATTAACAGTATCTGCAGTAAGGCAGAGGATTGATTGATTGATTGATTGATTGATTGATTGATTTGGATTCAAGGGGACACAAGTAGAAGCCTCATACAAGCCTTTGCCACAATTCAGTGAAGATTGGCAACTCAGGCCAGGGGGAGAGCAGTGTTTGGAGAATATTTGGTGGTCAGGGTATGGTTTTGCCCTTTTAGTTCATACTCATTTTCTATGGTTAATATATTTCTGTTGTTCTGTCTTTGGCTTCTGTATTGTTTGATTGATTGTTTTTTAGTGTGTATTTTGTGTTTATATTTTTCGGAGTCTATGTTTCAATTGTATTTAATTCAACTACACACTGTCCACAGAACCCAGGTTATTGGGTGACAAGCAAACACTCTGTCAATAAAAGTTTGGTTCTGTATATATGTATTTAAAATATACAAATGAAACAACACATGGGCAAGAAACGCCTACAACATATATTGCAATATGGCACGGCTAAGCAGGCACCACTCATTAGCTCACTCTTATTACTCTGTGTTTTTCAAGTTGATTTATTGAATAATTCATCTTACTGGTAAGCACCTCATTATTATGTACTGTAAAATAATATATTTAGTATTTTACCCCACTGGTGACCATTTTTTTTTTTTGTTAGTCTTGTCATGCTTTATGATTTATGTATGTACAGTTTTGTAACATGAATATATATATATATATATATATATATATATATATAATCATAGAGTTGAAATGGACCATGAGGTTCCCTGCAATGCAAGAGTCTTTTTGACCAATGTGGGTTTGGAACCCACAACCCTGAAATTGAGTCTCATGCTCTACCAACTTAGCTATCCAAAGGTTGCCATACAGACACACACGTTTGATTCTTTAAATTGATAGTGCAATCAACCTGTGTCAGTCTTCAGCTCCTTCCTCATTCCCCCTGAATTTACCGTGTTCTTGAAATCTCCAGTCTATGGTTGTCGTCATAAAAGGTCTTACTAGGGAGAAATATTGAGCACATGCCAATGTCAGGTAAAATCCCTTTGGATTGACTTTGCTATGTAAAGTCTATTTTGCTGTCATCCATCAGTTTTGACCTCTGCCTTTCTGTCTTCCCCTCTCCTGTTTGTTTGTTTTTTGCTCTACTGTCAGGATTTAGATTTCAGCCACTGGCTGAAAGGGAACCCTACCCCCTTTTTTTCTTCCTTATATTATTTGCCGAACACCATGAAGGTAGATTGCCCTGCAACGCTAAATCATGTTGTAAAAAACAAACCAAATGGGAGAATATCTATTTAGACATTATTACTATGATTTATAAGGTAAATAAATATAGACACCTAAACATCATGCATGCCCACTTTCTCACTTTGAATGGGCAGTTGTCATCCCTGGTAACAAACTCACCTCTCTTTCAAGGATCAAATTTGCACCCTACCCTAAAAGCACTCTTACACCACTTTCAACAGCCATGGCTTCACCCAAACAATAATGGGAGCTGTTTCTTAAGGGTTTTCTGGCACCTCTCAGCACCCTTAACAAGCCACAGTTCCCAGGATTCTTTGGGGGAAGTCATGAGTGCTTACAGTGGTATACGGGTGTGTGATGGGAAGATGAGCTGCTTGTGCGTAAAATCGTATTCCCTCAGAGTTTGTTCAAGTCCACAAACCTCTGTCTGTGACTGAGCCCCTCTGACATGGCTCCTCTAGTCACTAGAAGATTCCGACAGTGGTTGCTTTCGTAATCGCTTCCAACATAAAAGCTCCTTAACGGAAACACGTCTTCTGGACTCTCTGCGTGACAGTTTCCGGCGAGGAGTGGGTGTCCCTACAGGAGGTCCGGAAACCTCACCACTGTTTTCGCTGGAAGTATCTCTGAGCCATCCCCCAGCTCCCTTTCCCTCAGTTCAGCTTCTCTCCCCTGCTGGTTTCCTCTTCAGCTGCTGAGTCTCTTCCAACCTGTCTGAGCCCTTTCACCTCCCTCAGTTCAGCTTCTCTCCCCTTGCTGGTTCCCTCTTCCGCTGCTGAGTCTCTTCCAACCTGTCTGAGTCCTTTCACCTCCCTTCCTTCTGATGGCAGTTCCCTGACATCCACCTCCCCTCCAGGGCCCCCTTCACCCCCTCTCGCCCCCTCCTCTACGGGCGGTGAGGAGGCAAAACCCCCGGAATGAACTTCCTTCATCTTCCGATGTCTCGAACACTTCTCTCCACCTGTTGCGGTTCCTGGTCTCGAAGCACTCCTCCTCCTCCGAGTCCATCTCCCCTTCCCCTTCCGATTCTGGGAATCCTTCCAACTCCTCCTCCTCCTCAGTGGTCCCAAAGTATTCCCTCCGGAACCTCTCCACAGGCTGAGGTTTCCTCGGGAACCTTTGATGGAACGTTTCTATCAATACCTCGTCATTGATATCTTCGGCCATTACCCACGTGTTTTCTGACTCCGGTTCTCCTTCCCACGCTACCAAATACTCCACCTGATTCCCCTTCCACCTGGCATCAAGGATTTCTGCCACATGACTGCTGCATTCTCTTTCTTCTATGACCGGTCCCCGAGTGGCCATCCCTTCTCGTCCCCCCTCGTACGGTGACAGTAACGACCTGTGAAATACTGGGTGTAGTTTCATGTGGTTGGGTAACCGGAGCCTGAAAGCCACTGGGTTGACCTGTTGAATGACCTCAAAGGGACCCAACCTCCTGGGTCTTAATTTCTTACAACCTCCTTTGAACGGCAACCCTCGGGTTGACAGCCACACCCTATCTCCAACCCTTATGGTTTCACCTTCCCTTCGGTTCTTGTCTGCCTGCCTCTTGTATTCTTCCTTCGCCCTTTCTAAGTTGAGTTGGAGCTGACGGTGGATTGCTTCCATTTCTTCTACAAAATGCTCGGCTGCCGGTACGCTCCATCTCTCCCCTTCTCCCCTGGGAAAGCCCTGGGATGACACCCATAATTAGCCAAGAAGGGCTCATCCCTGTGGACACATTCTCGGCATTGTTGTAGGCAAATTCCGCCAGCGCCAACTTTTCTACCCAGTCATTCTCTCTGTCATTGACATAACACCTCAGGTATTGCTGGAGGACACCGTTTGCTCTTTCCGCCTGCCCGTTGGTTTCAGGGTGCCGGGCAGTCGAAAAGTTGACCTCCACCTGCAGTAAGCTCATGAGCTTCCTCCAGAACCTGGAAGTAAATTGTTTTCCTCGGTCTGAGACCACCCTCAATGGCACCCCGTGCAACCTAAAGATGTGTTCTACAAATAACTTCGCTGTCTCTTCCGCCGTGACTGCATGCGAGCAAGCTACAAAGTGGCACATCTTTGTTAGTAGGTCTACCACCACCATGATGGCTGTTTTCCCTTTGGACTTCGGCAGATCAGTCATAAAATCTATCGACACTGCCTCCCAAGGTCGTTCTGGTGTTGGTAAGGGTTCTAATAGCCCCGCCGGCGCCCGCCTTTCCCCTTTGGCTCGCTGGCACTGCTCGCACCCTCTTACATACTCACGTACATCCTCCCTCACCTTAGGCCACCAAAATTCCCTGGTGACCAACCACATGGTTTTGTGTTGCCCAAAATGCCCGCCGTGGGGCTGTCATGCAACTGCTTGAGTACCCTCCCCTTAAGTCTCCTTCAGGGATATACAGTGCCCCTTTGTAATACAAAGCTCCATTTCTTTCCTCGAAACCCCTTGATTCCTCTCCCTCATCCCTAAGACCTCTGAGCTTATTCTGGGCGTATTCATCATTCTCTGTTTCTTCTACCAGTTCTCTTTGTCCCACCAATGCCGCCCCACACACCCAGCGGTCCTCTGGAATGACATGTCTCTCTTCGGGTGCTCCTCCCCTCCAAATATTCAGGTTTGCGTGAGAGAGCGTCCGCCCTAATGTTCTCTGGGCCTGGCACGTAACAAATCTCAAAGTTAAATTTGGAGAATTCCTGGGCCCACCTCACTTGCCGTTGGTTGAGCACTCGTGCCGTCCTCCAATACTCTAGGTTCTTGTGGTCAGTGCACACTTGCACCTTATGTTGTGCGCCAATTAGCAGGTGCCTCCATCTCCGGAACGCCTCATGAATGGCTAGTAGTTCTCGGTCATACACCGTGTAGTTCCTCTCGGATTTGTTCAGCTTTCGCGAAAAAAGCACACGGTCTCCACTCTGACTCCTCCTTCCCTGGCTGGAGAAGCACCGCCCCAACCGCTCTGTCTGATGCGTCAGTTTCCACTCTCATCGGTTTTTGTAAATCCACATGCAGGAGCTGTTGTTCCGAGGCGAAGGCCCTTTTTAGTTCCTCAAATGCTTGCTCCGCCTCCTCCGTCCAAACGAACTTCTTCTTACTGCTGAGACAGTCCGTAATGGGCGCCGTCAGGTGGGCAAAGTTTGGGATGAACTTACGATAGAAGTTCCCAAATCCTAAAAACCTCTGCACATCCTTCCTTGTTTTGGGTGTTTTCCATTCCAGTACCGCCTGGACCTTGCCGGGATCCATGGCCAACCCCTTGTCAGACAGGCGATACCCCAGGAATTCCACCTCCTTGGTATGAAACTGACACTTCTCCAGTTTCACCCACAGCTGGTTGGCTTGCAGCCTGCTCAACACTTCTCTGACGTCTCTCACATGCTGCTCCTCATTCTCAGAATACACCAACACGTCGTCTAAGAAGGCCACACAATTCTTGTAAAGCAACGGCCCCAGGACGTGGTTCATAAACGATTGAAATGTTGCGGAGCCTGCTTGTAGACCGAAGGGCATAACTAAGTATTCAAATGCCCCTAAAGGGGTGAACATGGTGGTTTTCCATTCATCCCCCTTCCTTATTCGTATCAGGTTGTACGCCCCCCTTAGATCCAGCTTGGTGAAAATCTTTCCCTTCCGCACCCTTGTCAAAATGTCGTCAATCCTGGGCATCGGGAAGGCCACTGGTTCTGACACTGCATTTAAGGCCCTGAAGTCACACACCAGTCTCGGCTTGTTCGTGTTTTTGTGGACAAAAACACTGGGCTGCCCCCCACCGCCCTGGACTCTCTGATGAACCCTCTCTTCAGGTTCTTGTCAATGAACTCTCTTAGCTCCTGCATCTCTCTGTCTGACATGGCGTACAGCTTGCCCACAGGGAGCTGTGCCCCAGGGAGCAAATTGATTTGACAGTCAAAGGCTCTATGCGGTGGTAGTTGGTCAGCTTCCCTTTCGCTGAAGACGTCGCGGAGATCTGCGTATTGTCGTGGTACCTTCACGTTCTCCGTTACTTCAGTCCCTGCTAGGGTGGCTTGGTCCCCTGCCAAAACCTTTCACTCTTTGCAGTGTTCTAAGCAATGTGCTGACCCAAAAGAAACCACTCTTTGATGCCAGCCCACCAGCGGATCATGTAACGCTAGCCAGCTCATCCCCAATATAATGGGAGCTCCTCCCAAGGTGGCCACATTAAAAGCTATTAGTTCGGTGTGCCTTGCCACCTTCATTATCATTGGGACGGTCTGCAAGCTGACTTCTCCTCCCAACAGCTCCCTGCCATCGATCGTGGTTACCTGCGGGGGTTTGCTTAAAGGGAGCGTCTGTATCTGGTGTTCAGCTGCAAACTCTTTGCTCATGAAATTGCAGGAGCTGCCTGAGTCCAACAGCGCCTTTATCTTTAGAGGGTGTCCGTTTGGCAGCTCTAGTGTCACTTCTATCACTAGGGCGGGTTTAGGAGGTTCTGGCGTGGGCACTTTCACTGCTCTTTGGCCTGGCTGCTGTGCCCCGACAATGGCAGCCAGGCGTTGGCTTTAGTTGCTCCGGTATTTTTTCCTCTCTTCCCTCCACAGCTCCCACCATCCCTTGCCATTCCTTCCTCTGGGGGCAGACTCTGGCAAAGTGCCCTGGCTGTTGGCAGAGA